ATCATGGATCCAAATAAAATGAAATCCTTGATAACTTCAATATTTTCTCTGTTTATCATGATTTTGCTTACTGGTCTATTTGTGAAGATTTTTGTTCCTTGATGTTGATGTGTAATCTAAGGAGCACTGGTGGTATAGTGGGTAAAGGTATTTAGTTGCTAACCCGAAAGTTGGTGGTTCAAACCCACCAGCTGCTCTGTTGAAGGAAGATGAGGTAATCTATTTCCATACAGATTTACAGCCTTGGATACCCAATGGGGTCTCTGTGAGTTGGAACTGACTCAATGGCTGTTTTTTTTTTAATGTGTAATCCACATTGAAAGACTAGTGTTTATCTTCATCAGTAAGTGCTTCACATCCTCTTTCATTTCAGCAGCGAGGTTGTATCATTTGCATGTTGCAGGTTGTTAATTAGTTTTCCTCTAATCCTGATGCCACATTCTTCTTCATATAGTCTAGCTTCTCAGACTATAAAGATGGAATAAATCTGGTGAAAATATATAACCTTAATGCAGACATTTTCTGATTTTTAAACCATGCAGTATTCCCTTGCTCTGTTCAAATGACTGTCTCTTAGTCTATATGGAGGTTCTACATTACCACAATTCCAGAATTCCCATTCTTAACAATATTGTCTGTAATTTCTTTTGATCCACACAGTTGAATGCCTTTGTATAGTCAAACCTACTGCCGTCAAGTCTGACTCATAGTGACCCATCCTTGGGTTTCCAAGCAATATAACTACAGAAGTAGATTGTCCAACCTTCCCTCCTGGGAGTGGCTGGTATGTTTGAACCACCAGCATTCTGGTTAGCAGTCAAATGCCTTTTGCACTACGCTACCAGAGCTCCCCAATAAAACACAGGTCATTATAAAGCAAAACATCATTAAAAAGATTAGAAAGAAAGAAAAGACTATAATGGATTTCAGAAGAGACTCTACAACTTGCTTGTGAATGTTGACTAGCTTAAATGAATGGAGGGAATTAGTAAGTAAAAGAGCTGAACAGAAGATTATAAAGGGTGGCTTGAGAAGACAAAGTAAAGTATTATAATAAAATGTGCAAAGACTTTGAGTTAGAAAAACAAAAAGAAAGAATACACTTGGCATTTCTCAAGCTGAAAGATGTGAAGAAAAAATTCAGGCTTTGAGTTGCAATATCCTGTGGGTGAAAAATTGAATGACACAAGATGCATCAAAAGAAGAAGAAAGGAATACACAGAGTCACTTACCAAAGAGTTAGTTAATCAGCGATCACTAATTTCAGGAACGACCAAGAACTGATGTTACTAAAGGAAGAAGTTCAAGTTTCACTGAAGGCATTGCCAAAAAACAAACTGCAGAAACACAGACTGCTTATTGAGATGTGTCAACAAAGATATGCAATGCTGAAGGTGATCACTTATCAATGCCAAGAAATTTGGAAGAGAGCTATCAACTGACTGGAAGAGCTCGATATTTGTGTCTATTCCAAAGAAAAGTGACTCAAGAGAATGTGGAAGTTATCTAACAATATAATTAATGTCACACACAAGTAAAATTTTGCTGAAGATAATTCAAAAACTGTTGCAGCAGTATAGTGACAGGGAACTGCTAGAAATTCAAACTGGATTCAGAAGAGGACATGGAACGAAGGACATAATTGCTGATGTCAGATGGCTCTGGTCTGAAAACAGACAATACCAGAAAGATATTTACCTGTGTTTTATTGACTATGCAAAGTTCAATACTATCTTCAACAAAATAAATGAGACACTGTTGAAGGTAACAGAACCCCAGTTTGGAAGCCACTTCTTCATGTAAAAAAGCATCAATACAACATTTACTCTGGTGATAAGCATTAATATCATATTATCTATTTTCAGTCTCTTTAACAAATGGTGCTAGCAAAACTGGACATTTGTTTGCAGAAAAATCACATAACCGGTAAGTAACAAAGCCAGGTTTAGAACAAAGGCAGCCCCACTTCTAAGTCTGTGCTGTTACTACACTTTTCTTCTCCTAATTTATATGCTATCAAAGTCTTGCTAAGATGAAGAAATGAGAGCCTTCTACAGAGCAGATCAAGAACATTTCCAGCAAGTGAAATTTCCAGGCCTTTTCTCCTCTCCAATTGCCTACTAGAAACTCAAAATCAAACAGTATAATTTTAAAGGTAGGAAACACCTTAAAGATATTATCTATTTTCAGTCTCTTTAACAAATGGTGCTAGCAAAACTGGACATTTGTTTGCAGAAAAATCAAACAGGATCTGTACCTCACAACATATACAATAACTAACTCAAGATGGATCTAAGACCTAAATGTAAAACCTAAAACTATAAAGATCATCAAAGAAAAAATAGGGGCAAAAAATTAAGGTTCTAATTTATGGAATGAATAGGCTATCAAATATAACAATAAATGCACAGACAGCAGAAGATAAACTAGATGATTAGGTCTTCCTAAAAATTAAAAACTTATGTGCATCAAAATACTTCTCTAAAAAGAGTGAAAAAAGAACCTATAGACTTGGAAAAATTGTTTGGCGGCGACATATTTGACAGGGGACTAATTTCTAAAATTTATCCAAAACTTCAACAGTGAACAACAAAAAGATAAAGCAATTTCAAAATGGGCAGAGCACATGAACAGACACCTCACTTAAGGAAACATTCAGGCAGCCAAGAAGTGCATGAAAAAAATGTTGCTCTCATTAGCCATTCCAAAAAACCAAACCTACTGCCATCGAGTCAATTCCAACTCATAGCAACCTCATTGGGTTTCCAAGACTGTAAATCTTTATGGAAGTAGATTGCCTCATCTTCCTCCAATGGAGCAGCTGGTGGCTTTGGACCACCAATCTTCTGGTTAGCAGCCAAGTGCCTTACCCACTACACCACTAGAATTTCTTTCATTAGCCATTAGAGTGATGCAAATCAAAACAGCAATGAGATATCATCTTACCTAGCAATAATAGCAAAATTCAAAAAACCAGAAAAGAACAAATGCTGATGAGGATGTAGAGGAATTGGAACTCTCATGCATTACCAATGGCTCTATAAAATGGTATGAGCACTGCAGAATATGTTTGGAATTAGAAATACCATATGATCAGCAATCCTATTACGAAGAATATATCCTAGAGAATTAAGAGCTGTGACATAAATAGATATATACACACCCATGTTCATTGCCACATTAGTCACAATAGCAAAAAGACAGAAACAACCTAAGTGCAAATCAACAGATGAATGGATTAAAAAACTGTGGTGCATACACAGAGTGGAACACTACACAATGTTAAATGATAACAATGAGTCTGTAAAACACCTTATAACATGGATAAATCGGGAAAGCATTACGCTAAGTGAAATAGTCATTCACAAAAGGACAGATAGGGTCTGAGACCACCATTATATAAAGTCCAGAAAAGGTTTACACAAAGAAAGAAACATTATTTGATGGTTACCAGGGAGGGGAGGAGAATGGAGTGAAAATCATTAACCAAAAGGGAGACACATATTAACTTAGGTGAAGGGAATAGTAATATCCAATAAGTGGAGGAGTGGTACAACACAATTCATGGTAAAGGAAGACAGTCGTAGGTGCACAAGAGTAAAAGGCAACAATGGTATATACTATTATACATGTAATCCTGCAATAACAGTCATAACAAAAATATCTATGAGTAGATACATACAAGCTGAGTAGATGTATGAAGACAAATGACAGTAGACCTGCAAGTATGTATAGGTCTGGCAGAGGATAGTCCTACATATATATTTGTATGTGCTGCAAATATATCCAAGAATATTTTAGAGCATATAGCAGGCAAGGTTCTGAAAACTTCTTAGCCAAATACCTTGAAGGAATGAGTCACTGGACTTGGGAACTTATGACCACAGTCTTGAGGGACATCTAGTTCACTTGAAATTTCAGTCCACAAAGACAATATTCTACATACTACTTAGGAACGGTCATCTAATATGCAACTATTGGTCTCCCCTTGTCTGGAGCAAAGAAAAATGAAGAAAATGAAAGACACAAGGAAATTAGTACAAAGGACTAACAGATCACATAAACAACAGCTTCTACTACCTTTAAACCAGAAGAACTAAATAGTGTCTTGCTACCACTACTGATTGCTCTGATCAGGATTACAATAGAAGGTCCTAAACAGAGAGGAAGAAACAAAATGTAGAACAAGATTAAAAATCATGAAAAGACAGGACTTCCGGTCTAATAGAGACCAGTGGAATGCTTGAGAGTGCAGCCCTTAAACAGCCTTCAAGCCTGGAACTGAACCTACTCCTGAGGATCAAGACAAACAATACACAGGCCTATAACATGATGATAACACCAGGAAGGAATGCACTCGTCAGTATAATCAAGTGTATTACACTAAAAGGGCAGCTTTTGCCCATAAGTGAAGTGTCTGTTCCTGTCCTCTGCCCATAAACAAAGCTCAGAAAACAGGAAGGGGCAGGAAAGAAGGATGAGTAAAAATACAGAGACCAGGAAGAAAGTGAGAAGGACTCTGTTACATTGAAGAGATTGCAAGCAATACCATGAAACAAAAG